AGACTTAGTTATAACAGAAGAAGCCACTGCAGATATGCCTTTTCCCTAACAGAGACAGACTGCCACCTCCCTTCTTGGCCTGCCAATGGATGCAGACACTCACTCTTCATCTCCAACCTTTCACCTCATTCAGAAGGACAATCATCCTCCTGCTCCCCTAACCAAATATTCACTTTAAGCAGTTAGAAAATGTTACTATCTTGACAGCATTTCTATTGTTCTCTAGTATTTCTCTGTTCTATCAAACCACAATACACTCAACTTTCAAGTATGGGGTGTCAACTGTACCAAATTCTCCTTCCCCGTTCGCAATATTTTTGTTCCTGACTGCGAATATGTAAAACTTCAGTACTTTCTTAAAGGCATCTGCTTACAAAGAAACATCAGCAAATGTCCAATTCAGACATTCCATTCTTTATACATACTTACATTTTAACTTTACAATTATACTGAGGAAACATTTTCACTAAGTGGTCCACAATAACATGAACTTTTTTCCCCTGACTAATTAATTCAGAACCCAGCTAATGTTTGATTGGTTCAAATTACTCCTGCCAACGTACCATTTCTCCATTCACAACAGTGACCTTTATCTGCTATTGTGCTTCGTCACCTAACTTTATTAGATCCCTCTGCTGTTCCCTACAGCCGTCTCTAGATTTGGCTAACTTAAATAATTCTGTCTTATGCAAAATTTGCCACTTCTATTTACTAATGCTCTGCAAAAGGGATCAAACACCAACCAGTCCTAGAACAGAACCTTTGGGCATCCAACCATTAACTTTTTGCCATCTTGAAAACTGACCATTTATTCCTCCTCTGTTTTCTGTCCCTGTTTTGTTGATACACTCAAAGAACTCTAATAGACTAGACCGAAGATTATAGTTGAAAGACCACAGACAAAACTGTTTTTTTCCACTGCGTTACTTTAAGTATACCCATCTTTACTATTTCCCATGTTTGGTCAATTTTCTGGGGTCTTTCAACAGCAAAAGGGGAGCAAAAAGAATTTTGAAAAATAAGAAATTGATTGTAAAACCAAATAAATTGAAAGTGAACTTAGGACAACTAGGTCCTGAAATTACTTTTCACTCATTTCTTGAAATTTACTACATTTTCAGTTGGCCATAATCCTCTCAACAATAAGAGCTATATAAAATGTATATTGCAGTGCTAAGTTAATTAACTAGTGCAGTTGCATAGCAGCTACTCACCAAAGTTACACAACAGTCTTTTGAAATTCTTTCTAATTTAGAATCTTTCAAGATATTTGGCATTTAATGTGGACTAACACCTCTTCTACAAGGCTGTGTTTGTTAGTCTCTTAAGTAGGCTCAAACGTTTAGTTTAAGGGACTCAAAATTTATAACTACTAAAACTTTGCAAAGTTACTTCATGATATGAAATAAAAATGCTTGCATTATAGCTATCTAATATATTGGGTTAAAAAAAAAGCATGTTCAACTGAACTACGGATCTGCAAACATGATGCTGTAACACTGTACAAGAGAAATGGAATAATTTGAATCTCTAATAAGCAAGCACTTCAAAAATGAAAAATCAAAACAAAACAAGAAAATTTACTTACCATCTGATTCTGAAGCTGCTCGGATGATCAAATAACTTCCAGGTAATGGCTGAGTTATAGAACCAACCGCTTCACCTTTAGGACCCTAGAAATATATGAATACAACATCCATAGACATTATTTTGAATCAGCTGTTTCATGGCTTGTTTGCTGTAGTAACAAGCTGATTACAATGCAGGAAGCTCTACTGTCACTCACAGCAACAACTAATGAAGATATGGTTCTGTAGAGGAGTTGCCTCCTTTCATGGGATTTTCCTCTTCAGACACTTATCTTAAAGTGGGGTTGAGTTGAGAACCACACTTTAAAGAGAAAGGTCTTCAGTTTATTCCAATTTATTTTTTAAAATTAATCTGGAGACTTTAGTTGACTTGGCAAATAACTTCTATGACCTGGCCTGTCAGCAGCACCCCGTGCTCTCTTACCTTGTTTCCTTGCCTCCTCCTCTAAATCAGGTTATAATGGAGGTACCTTCCTCCCCTCACAGAAACAGACTTATGAGTAGGTGGCAAGGATACTATCTGTCCTAGGTACCTCTTTGACCCTCATCACTGTAGATTCCAAGTGCCTTCTGCAAGCGGAATCAGCAGGAGAGGGTGCCACTCTGTGTCCAAACAGGAAGCGATGGCAAAGGATGCAAAGCTCCAGATACAAATCTCAAATTAAACTTAGGGCTGAGAATTAATCGCAGTTAACTCATGCGATTAACTCAAAAAACCCGATCACGATTACAAAAATTAATCACGATTAATCGCACTGTTAAACAATAGAATACCAATTGAAATGTATAATATTTTTGGATGTTTTTCTACATTTTTAAATATATTGATTTCAATTACACCACAGTATACAAAGTTGACAGTGCTCACTTTGTATTATTTTTTATTGCAAATATTCGCGCTGTAAAAATTGCCAATGAAAGAAAGAGTATTTTTCAATTCACCCCATACGGTTCTTTATCGTGTAAGTGCAACTTACAAATGTAGATTCTTTTTTGTTACATAACTACACTCAAAAACAAAACAATGTAAAACTTTAGAGCCTACATGTCCACTTACTTCTACTTCTACTTACTTCTTACGTTTACTTCTTGTTCAGCCAATTGCTAAGACAAACAAGTTTGTTTGCATTTACGGGAGATAATGCTGGCAGCTTCCTATTTACATGTCACCTGAAAGTGAGAACAGGCGCTCACATGGCACTTTGTAGCCAGCATTTCAAGGTATTTACATGACAGTTATGCTTAACATTTGTATGCCCCTTCATGCTTGGGCCACAATTCCAGAGGACATTCTTCCATGCTGATGATGCTCGTTAAAAAAATGCATTAATTAAATTTTGACTGAACTCCTTGGGGGAGAAGTCTCCTACTCTGTTTTACCTGCATTCTGCCATATATTTCATGTTATAGCATTCTCGGATAATGACCCAGCACATGTTGTTAGTTTTAAGAACACTTTCACTGCAGATTTAACAAAACACAAAGAAGGTACCAATGTGAGATTTCTAAAGATACCTACATCACTTGACCCAAGGTTTAAGAATCTGAAGTGCCTTCCAAAATCTGAAAGGGACGAGGTGTAGAGCATGCTTTCAGAAGTCTTCAAAGAGCAACACTCAGATGCGGAAACTACAGAACCTGAACCACCAAAAGAGAAAATTAACCTTTCTTCTGGCGGCATCTGACTCAGATGATGAAAATGAACAAGCATATGTCTGCACTAGTTTGGATGGTTATCAAGCAGAACCCGTTATCAGCATGGATGCATGGTTGAAGCATGAAGGGACATATTAATATTTAGTGCATCTGGCACATAAATATCTTGCAATGCCAGCTACAACAGTGCCATCCGAACACCTGTTCTCACTTTCAGGTGACATTGTAAACAAGAAGCAGGCAACATTATCTCCTGCAAATGTAAACAAACTTGTTTGTCTGAACGATTGGCTGAACAAGAAGTAGGACTGAGTGGATTTGCAGGCTCTAAAGTTTTATATTGTTTTATTTTTGAATGCAGGTTTTTTTGTACATAATTCTACATTTGTAAGTTCAACTTCCATGATAAAGAGATTGCACTGCAGTACTTTTATGAGATGAATTGAAAAAAAATTTTGTTTTGTTTTTTTACAGTGCAAATATTTGTAATGAAAAATAAAGTGAGCACTGTATACTTCGTATTCTGTTTTGTAATTGAAATCAATATATTGAAAATGTAGAAAATATCCAAAACTATTTTAAAAAGGTATTATATTATTAACAGTGCGATTAATCACAATTAATTTTTTAATCACTTGACAGACCTAAATAAACTAAAAATTCCAGATGTTTAAAACATTTCTTTAGAAACAGTGCCATTGCTACAGATATTTCTATTTCTCTCAAGTGTGCTTAGAGAATATAAAAGATTGAAAATACCACTCAAGAGCCCACTCTAAAAACAGTTAAGTTAGAGGAATTTTAAGACAACTGATAGGTAAAAGGGTTTGCATTAGGTTTGTAGCCACAGTTGGACGATACGTTAAACCTACTGTCAATCAGCCTAATTGATAAGAAAATCTGTTTGGGTCTTGGGGGTGGACTTCCCCCAGTGAATCTAATGAGAAACTGGTAAGTTAGAAGAGGGAATGTAAAAGCAAGAAGTTTTGAACAAAAGCAAGTAAAGAGGAAGTTAGTGACCTGTAATGGAGGTTCTTAGAGATGTGTAGTCCCTATCTGTATTCCACTGTGAGTTATGCATGTGTACTCTGTGCCTGGAGCTGGAGAATTTGAAAATAGGTCACTTGGTCCAAGCATGTGTCCTGGCTCACTTCGAGCCCCCATCCAAGGACATAAAGGGTGGGGCAGACCAACCATCTCTCCAGTTCTCTCTCTCCCGCAAATCAGAGAAGATCCAAAACAGAGAAGAAAGAGGGAGGGTAATGAAATACAGATGAGGACCACACGTCTCGAAGAACCTCCATTACAGGTTAATAACCTCCTCTTCTAGTGACGGTTCCTATTATATTCCGCCGTGGGTGACTGACAAGCACTACTGAAGTAGGAGGAAGGTGTGAGGATGTAGACAGTAGAACTGAGTGGAGGACCCCAGTCCCAAAGAATGTATCAGCAGAGGAGTCCTGCACCTGGGCATAATGTCTTGCAAATGCATAAACAGAGCCTCATCTGGCCACTTTACAGATATCAAGGAAAGGCACCTTCTGAAATGATGCCATAGTTATTGCTTGTGCTCTTTTGGAATGAGCTCTCACCTCCTTGGTGTGAAGGGGGGAGAAGGTTTGATAGCTGATAAAATAGAATGCAGCTAGATATCCATTTGGAGATTCTCTAGGAGGAGATGGCGTGTCCCCTGATTCCTTCTGCTATGGTGATAAAAAGTCTTGGGGATTTCCTGATTGGTTTTGTTTTTTGCAGTTACAAGCCCAAGGCTTGCTGAACATCAAGGAATCGGAGTCTTTTCTTCCCAAAACCACATGCTTCCACAGAGGAAGACACAGGTAAGTGAATCAATTGGCTAAGGTGAAATTCTGAAACTTCTTTGGTGGTGAATTTGGGGTGTAGCTAGATGCAAAGAAAACTTATCCTTATGGAATACAGTGTAAGAAGGATCTGCCATCATCAGTCCAAGCTTGCCAACCCTTCTACCTGAGGTGATGCCTACGAAGAAAGCAACCTTCATGGAAAGGAGAGAGACAGAGCAAGAAGCTAAAGGTTCAAAGGGAAGCCTTATGGGTACTGAGAGAAACCAGGTTCAGGTCCCATTGGTGAGTGAGCTTCTGAATAGGCGGGAAGGTTCTGTTGATTAAGCCTTTGCAGAATCTAGTGGTGAGTGGATGTGCGAAGACCAAGTAGTCCTGAGGAGGTGGATGATATGCACTGATTGCCACCAAATGGACTCACAAGGAGCCGATGGACGGGCCTGATATCTTCAGAGAGAGGCTATAGTCCAAGATGAGAGGATTATTGGCAGTTTCTAGAAGAATGGTCCTTTGTTGTGTTCAAGAAGAAAAGCACCTTCATTTCGCTATTAACATCTTACTCCTATTGTTCGTTAATTTTTCCCATTCTCAGTCAATTCCCCCAGGAGCATAAAACCTGTACAAGTTTTAAGGCCCCTACATTGCCAGAGAGATGTAAAGTCTTATAAATGACAGTAAGGGAATCAGCTAGGAAGATCTATGTGCTTTCTCACTTTTTTCCTGTGCCAAAGTGGCACAATGGAGTTAGATTACAGCTCAGGATTTATTTTACTTACCCATTAAAAAAAAGAAAAGACAAGACTTTGAGGGCAAATAAAACATTTATCAAGCAGTCAATAAAATATCAGGACAATCAGAACCAAGCACTTCCCAAAGTACCCAGCTAGGTCCAGGACAATGATTAGCAAAACTGTACGACTTTCACATGTGAAAAAGTCTGAGCAATTTAAAATGACATTCTACTTTTCTTTTTCCCTCCTTCTGTTTGGTGTTCTGTAACGTAATTTCAATGAAAATTCAGGATTATAACTGGAATGCAGGGTATTAATTACCAAGTGTTCGTAACTTTTCTTTCATGTGTTTAGGAAATGCTGAAAAGTTATTGTGACTTTTTTTCTGTATTGTAGTTTAAATAAATTATTAAAACAATTGAAACTGGTGAGATTATATTGCATTATTTTGACAAATATAATATGCAGAATTTTTAGTTTTTTGGAGCAAAAGCCTCCCAGGAGTAACATCTTCTAATAGAATTCTTCCTAATATTAGATGACTGTCTCACAAGGCTGGGTTAGATTTACTCCCAACTGAACATTCTAACGATGATACCCATCCAAATATCAAGCCCTGAGATGGAACGAATGCAGATCAGGGTGCTTGATCTTGCTGTTCCATTGGGTCAGGAGCTCAGGAAACATTGGGAGGAGGATTAGTAGCAGGGATGACATGTATAGGAGGTTGGGAAACCAGAACTGTCTGGGCCAGTAAGGGGCGATCAGGATGACCCCTGCCCTGCCAGACTTTGTATAAAATTCATGGTAGAAGCAATAGAAGAGGAAAGGCATAATTGAACTGGTCTGACCAAGGAAGAAGCAGAGCATCACCCTGGGAGTAGATGTGAGGAGTTCCCCCCGGGGTGCCACCTGGAACTGGGGTACCACTGAGCCCTCTGACCCAACAGCCTGGGCTCCCTTTCACACTGTGCTGCTGGGACAAGCTGCAGACCTGCTCCTGGTCCTACACTTTCTCCAGCATTCATACAGGTAGGGACACACCCAGCTGCAATTACACGCAGGCACTCTGACCAGCCACTGCATAAACCATCAATAGAGAGGCTACAGCCAAAACAACCACCAGTTTTCCATCCTAGGACCCCAGAGCTGTAGCATCCTGCCCTGGTCAAAACCCTGACCAGTATGAATTTATTATCCAGGTCGCCTCCCACTCAATGTGGAGAGGAAATGCAACAAGCCTATGTTAAACCAAGCTGAGCTTTTTCCCCAGGCACTTCACTTAAAGGCACACTGGGTTTAAATTAAAACATAAAACAAGTTTATTAACTACAAAAGATAGATTTTAAGTGATTATAAAGGATAGCAAACAGATCAAAGCAGATTACCTAGTAAATAAACAAAAACACAAACTAGGTTTAACACACTAGAAAAATAGTATTTGAATTAATCTCTCACCCTGACTGATGATACAAGCAGGCTGGCAGATTCTCAAGGTACAAGCTACACTTGATTTACAGCTTGGAATCCCCAGGTTTTACATACACAGGCTAGAAATCCCTTTAGCCTTGGTCCAGCACTTCCTCCAGTTCCTCAGCTGTTTCCAGGAGTCCTCTTGCGTAGGGAGTGAAGAACAACCGATGATGTCACTCCATGCCTTATATAGCTTTAGTGCATGGCGGGAACCCTTTGTCCCAAAACCAGTTCCCAGACAAGTGTGTTGAAAAATACAGACACTCCAAAATAGAGTCCAGAGTCATGTGGCCTGGTCATATGCCCTTGTAGAGTCATAGCAGCCATTATTTACAGGAAAAAGAAAAGGAGTACTTGTGGCACCTCAGAGACTACCCGAATTTATTTGAGCATAAGCTTTCGTGAGCTACAGCTCACTTCATCGGATGCATAAGTGAGCTGTAGCTCACGAAAGCTTATGCTCAAATAAATTGGTTAGTCTCTAAGGTGCCACAAGTACTCCTTTTCTTTTTGCAAATACAGACTAACATGGCTGTTACTCTGAAACCTGTCATTATTTACAGGCTGTCTGGAGCCTTCTCAGGAAGGCTCACCAGGTGGGAGATAAGTTTCTCCTAAGGCCTATTGTTTTCCCTAATGATTCATTACCCGGAATAAGCCCTTCCCAACCAGCTATCTAGACTGAAAGCATCTTGCCTAGTGGGCATCGCCCAGGTGTAACTACATTTGAAATACAGATACATAGTCAATATTCATAACTTCAGCTACAAAAATGATACATGCGTACAAATAGGATAATCATAACTTTTCCAATGACACCTTATATGACCCATCTTGTATAAAATGCATCACAATTATATCATAATATTATTTCTAGGATGAATATGAGATGTAATGTCATAGTCGTGACCCAGGGCTCTTCTGGAGCAATATGTAATGCATTTCTTGTTCATTTGAGAAGCAAACAGATCCCTAGTTGGGGTTCCCCATAGAGCGAAAATATTGTGCAATACCAAGTTATGGAGTTCCCAATCATGGTGGACTACAAAATGTCTGCTGCAGGTAGGCTGCTGATAGGGTGATTCTATTGCTGACACACCAGTTCCAAAAGACTGACCGCTTCTGCACACAGGGAGATGGATCTTGCTCCCCTCTGCTTGTTGATGTAGAAAATAGTCATAACATTATAAGGACAAGATGAGCACGGCTGAATGGAAGAATGGCTTCGCATGCTTTCCAGACTGTTCGCAACTTCAGGATATTGACGTGCATCCTGGATTATCAAGACGTCCAAGTACCTTGTGCTATGCAGCTGTTCATGTGAGCTCTCCAACCAAATAGGTATGCATCTGTAATAATGGTCCCGTCCAGAGAGGAAGGTATACGAGGATGCCCACATATACCTGATGAGGGGTATCTGATCTGAGCTATGATATATTGTTCACGATCTGGAACCTTTCCTGGGGCAAATATGCTCTTGCAATGATAAAATTCAAGGCGGCCACGATGAAGTCCAAAGATTGTGTGGGGGCGAGAACAGATTTCTTGCCGTTTATAAGGACTCCCAGTGAGGAGAGGAAGTGCAGCATCCTAGAAGTTAACTCATAGGCTTCCTGGAGTGACTTGGCAACAAGGAGCCAGTCCTCGAGGTAGGGGAAGATAATGAGACCACAATCTCTGACATAAGCTGCTACTCTCAAGAACACCTTGGTAAAGACTCTGGGGGCAACTGTTATGCTAAAAGGCAGCACTCTGTACTGAAAATTGTCAGACCACCATGAATCTGAGGAAGTATCTATGAGTGGGATGAATGTCTATGGAAGAGTAGGTATCTTTCACTTCAAGAACTGTAAACCACATGTCCTTTTCTAAACATGGGATTACAGATGCCAACATGACCATGTGAAATCTGAGTTTGCAAACGATGTGATTGAAATGGCAGTGGTCGAGGATTGGTCTCCAACCACCCTTTTTTTGGGTACCAGGAAGTAAGTCGAGTAAAACCTGTTCCCTTGGTATTGAGGAGGCAGGTGTTCTATCACTTCCTGCCCCAAAAGGGAGTCCATCTCTTGTTTGAGAATATTCTCGTGACAGTGGTCCCTGAGGCGCTTTTGAAGAGGGTTTTAGAGGAGGTAGGGATGCAAATTCTATCATAAACTGTAAAAATTGTTAAAATTATTTACAAAGCTAAATCTAATTCTTATTTTTTAGGACGATGCTGAAGCTACAGACACTGGAGGTTCTGACGCAGATCATGAGGTGGTGAGAAGTAACAGGAGAGACCATTCGTCTGCCCCATCCTATATCCCCTCAGACAGAGGCACGAGGTTAGCCAGGGTGCATGTGTGACCCAATGGACATTACTTACAAATTCTCCGGCTCTGGGTGCCTGATGCACATGTGTAAACCAGAGTGGAATGTAAGAACATAAGAACGGCCCTGCTGGATCAGACCAAGATCCATCTAGCCCAGTATCCTGTCTTCCGACAGTGGCCAATGCCAGGTGCCCCAGAGCGAATAAACACAACAGGTAATCATCAAGTGATCCGTCCCCTGTCGCTCATTCCCAGCTTCTGGCAAACAGAGGCTAGGGACACCATTCCTGCCCATCCTGGCTAATAGCCATTGATGGACCTATTCTCCATGAATTTATCTAGTTCTTTTTTGAACCTGTTATGGTCTTGGCCTTCACAACATCCTCTGGCAAGGAGTTCCTCAGGTTGACTGTGCGTCGTGTGAAGAAATACTTCCTTTTATTTGTTTTAAACCTGCTGCCTATTAATTCATCTTGGATCTGTGGTGATCTATACTTGGAGGATTGACAGCTCCTCCTACATAAAAAACTGTATGGTTTCTTTCACAGTCTGACTTAACCCCCTATCTTAAAATGTCCTTCTTTCCAAATATACTCTTCATAGACCCACCAATACCTTTTGTCTCAATTCTGAGGACTTTCCCTTGGGGGACAGTTCTTGCTTTTAATCTCTGTAATAAGAGTTGAGAAATTCCTGGCTATGGTTGGGACCAGCACTAGCCTGTGTACATTGTTTCTTTAACACTGGCTGTTCCATATGATAGCTTCTAAAAATCACTGTCATCTTCTTCAAGTGGTTTAAACACAGCAGAGTGGGTACTACTGGTTATACACTGTAGACTGGAAGAGCATAACATCAAGGGAGCATGATAAGCGACTGGCCCCAGACTACTACAGAAAGTCATGCACAGTCAGCCAGACGGAGGAACCAGACACTATGATAAGTGCGCTTAGGGAAAAGCTGACTTCTGCAGTACCTTTATACATCTTGTGTACATAGTTCTGAGTGGTGGTGTCTCTTCAGATTGGGTGTGAACAAGTCTTGACAAGGTCCCTCTCCAAAGACTCTTAAGCAAAGTAAGCTGTCATGGGATAAGAGGGAAGGTCCTCTCCTGGATCAGTAACTGGTTAAAAGACAGGAAACAGAGGGTAGGCATAAATGATCAGTTTTCAGAATGGAGAATGGTAAATAGTTGTGTCCCCCAGGAGTGTGTACTGGGGCCAGTACTGTTCAACATATTCATAAATGATCTGGGGGAAAAGGGGTAAACAATGAGGTTGCAAAATTTGCAGATGATACAAAACTACTCAAGATAGTTAAATCCAAAGCAGACTGCGAAGAGCTACACAGAACTGAGTGACTGGGCAACAAAATAGCAGATGAAATTCAATGTTGATAAATACAAAGTAAATGCACAGTGGAAAAAATAATCTCAACTATATATATAAAATGACAGGGTCTAAATTAGTTGTTACCACTCATGAAAGAGATCTTGGAGTCATTGTGGATAGTTCTCTGAAAACATCCACTCAGTGTGCAGCAGCAGTCAAAAAAGCTAACAGAATGTTGGGAATCATTCAAAAAGGGATAGATAGGACAGAAAATATTATATTGCCTCTATACAAATCCATGGTATGCCAACATGTTGAATACTGTGTGCAGATATGGTCGCCCCATCTCAAAAAAGATGTATTGGAATTGGAAAAGATTCAGAAAAGGGCAACAAAAATTATTAGGGGGTATGGAATGGCTGCCAAATGCGGAGAGATTAATAAAACTGGGATTTTTCAGCTTGGAAAAGAGACGACTAAGGGGGGATATGAAAGAGGTCTACAAAATCATGACTGGTGTGAAGTGTTATTTACTCCTTATAACACAAGAACTAGGGGTCACCAAATGAAATTAAGACGCAGCAGGTTTAAAACAAACAAAAGGAAGTATTTCTTCACACAATGCACAGTCAACCTGTGGAACTCTTTGCCAGAGGATGTTGTGAAGGCCAAGACTACAACAGGGTTCAAAAAACCCTAGATAAATTCAGGATAAGTCCATCAATAGCTATTAGCCAGGATGGGCTGAGATGGGGTCCCTAGCCTCTGTTTGCCAGAAGGTGGCAATGGGCAATAGGAGATAGATCACTTGATGATTTCCTGTTCTGTTCATTCCCTCTGAAGCACCTGGCATTGGCCACTGTCGGAAGACAGATATTGGGCTAGATAGACCTTTGGTCTGACCCAGTACAGACATTCTTATGTTCTTGTTCTTTGTTGAAAAACAAGCTTTTTCTCTTGTGAGCCTAATGGTGAAAGCTTATTGGAGAGTAAAGTTACCTGCGGCTATCCTTATGAAAGTTTGCCTCCCACAGGATCTACAGTTTCACTAGCGGATTGCTGTTACTGACTGGGGGACAGGACAGGGAAGAAGACATCGTTTTAACAAGGACTTCTAACTAAAACTAATAATTCTCTACTATACATAGCCACACCAGAATAAACAAATGCCACAATAGCCCTCAGTACATTTAAAATGGACAATATTGACTTATTCTGGTTTAAAATTTGACCTACCTTTAATAACGTTCAAGCAATTAGGAAATATAGCCTTGATTTATACAGATCTCAGCCTAAGACTGATTTGTCATCTTCTGCAGAGCTAGGTCACCCTAGTCAAACAGCTGTTAACAACCTTCATGAATTAGGTTCATAAAGTATTGAACTTTTAAGTCACATTAACCACAAAATACACATCGCTAGGAAAGGAATGGAGGAAATGAGTACACAGCAAACTGACAATGAAAAATCAGTAGGGTAAAAAACTCTTCTGAAGTGGTTTTAGACTATAGTAAATCTACAACCAATTAAAAAAAACCCTAATATTTTGAGTATTTCATACTAAGAAGACATAAGATTCCAAACAGACAATAATTCCTCTGAATAAATGTCAGGTGATTATTACTTTAATTGCCTGATCTTAATGAAGAAGGAAGTTACCATTGTCCATCACTGATGAGATAGGACATGGAACAGCTATACAGGTACTTAGCATCTTGTATCAGATGTAGAATGCAGAGAGTATAATAAATTCCTCATCCATTATTAGGGCTGTTAGGAGGTAAGGTAATACAGCTGATGAGGGCCAGATCAGACCATCAAAACTTTGGATAAACCAGAGAATGGGAAAATGTGACGATGCACTGCCATCTAGTGGTCACAGGAGAGATTTCCCGCTTCTGGTCCTCCAGTCCAAGCTGTTTGGTAAACGTGGAGAGCTTGTTAAGGGAGGGTCGGATAAATGGAATTCTACTGTTCAAATAACCACCACCACCACGTTTCAAGATACAGAATCATGTATAAGCTTCAAATGCCTACAAGGTAACCATCATTATTGCTGTGCACAAAAGCAATTAAAACAAGTGCTTTTGTATGAAGTTATTAATTTACTCAAGCATCAAATCTAAAGAAATGAAATAGACTTTTCAGCAAGACACATTACATGAAACACACTGTATGCTCTTCAGCAAAGATTATAGCATCCTATTTATTGCTAAGGACTTCCTAAAAGATTAATCTGTTCATGTAACCAACATGTGATCTACACAGTATAAATTACAGAGGTCACATCGTTACTTTTTTGGATGAAAAGTACAGCAGTAGACACTGTATTAACACAGAATTAAGTTAAGAATAGCTAGAAGACAAAACACTGCTGACTATATAGAAAAGCGTAGTGCCTCTTATGTGTAAGGCTGCTTCTACTCAATGCTGAGAACACAGACACATTCTGCAATGTCTTCAAGAATGGATGTTCACTAACCTTAACAGCCCAGATGGACTGCTCCAAGGGATGGAAAAGTTTGAAACAAAAGCCATCTTTTTTGGAAGGCCGCTCAATGAGTTCACAAGCATTCAGGAGCACTGTTCCCACCCACTGGCCATTTTGGGGGGTTTTGTAAATGAGCAATACTCCTGGTTTCAGCACACACCACAGTTTGGTCCAGCTTTTCAATGTACCACGAATCTACAAAATATTAACAATTGGGTTTAGTTCATCACAATTAAAAATAAATATCGAAGTCACAAATAAATATCAAAGTCATCCCCCTCCTGCTGACAGGAAAATTGAATCTAAGTCAATTGATAGTTTTACCCAAAATAAAGTAAGTCTGTTGATTCTACAACAGTGTTCTGTACTTCCTTGTGGCAGAAATATGTTAAGATGCAGATTCCTCCTTCTAGGGCCGGTGAATATTACCCTTGTTATGCAAGTGATGTACACATTGGTTCAAAATCTGGAAATACTTCTGGATCCCTGATTCCTTCTGGATTCCCCAGGAGTGTCCACAGCCGAAGCGTATTTTACTATTAGCAATATTATTCATGACACATGGGTAGAATTACTATGAATGCAACTCAGAAGATACAATTGGTGCAGAATGCAATTGCCTCCTTAGGGTGCATCTACCCAGCCAAGAAAAACCCATTGCTGGCCCATGCCAACCGGCTCAGGCTCGGGCTGCAGGGCTGTTTCGTTGCTGTGTAGACTTCTGGGCTCAGGATGGAGCCCGATCTCTGGGACTCTTCCACCTCAGAGGGTCCTAGAGCCTGGGCTCTAGCCTGAATCCAGAAATCTACACAGCAACGAAATTGCCCTGCAGCCCCTGCCCAAGTCGGCTGGCGCTGGCCAGCAATAGGTTTTTCTTTGTTGTGTAGATATACCGTAAGCGATGGTAGGTCATAACAGTTCTCAGAGTTCTTAATACTTGATACTTGATTTTGAAATGGAAATCAAGGTGTTAACAACCAATCTATAGATATATAAAAATTCCAGATTTGGGTGGGATCGCTGGCTATCAGAGAGCACCTCCTCTTGTGCACCACCACGAGTTCTTAGGTTTCTTGGATTTGAATGTCTGGGGTATGGATGTTTGTGATTAAGTTCTGGTCACTCTAGAATTTATTCCTCCTTATCAGGCTGAACAAACACTAATTTGTTGACCTCCATAGTATTGATTTAATCCTTCTATTTAGTAAGGCTTTTCCATGAGCAGGATAAATATTACCTCTTATGGATAAGCCATTTAGTTTAATCTCTGTAAAAGTACCCACACTGCTTTTGCAATCCTCTGTTGCTGGTGGTACTGCCCACTGTCTGGGACAGATGAACATCTCATCCCTTCTATGGAAATAAGATTCTAGGATTATAGCTATTTCATATGGGAGGAAAGAGAAAAAAGAGGAAGAGATATGCAAGAAGAAACCTGTGTTAAAATACCTAAGATGACTGACCTTCCTTTTGTGACTTCTAACAAATTAAGGAATTCTCTATGATCAAGTATAAAATCACAAGTACAAAAAACCCATAACCCCAACTAGTTTTTTAAATTAGTTGCTGTACATATTAGGTCAATATCACTATGGTGACTGCAGTAAGTAACAGCCAGTTTCCTCAGTTATCCCCTAGGACTCAAGCATGGAGTCTCTGGGTTGCAATTAATAGATGCTCTGCTAGTTGAAAAACATTAATCAGCATTAAACATTAATCATTAATTACTAAAACTTCAACTCAGATTTCACACTCAAGCTCTGACCTTCAGCCAGTCAGCCATAACAATAACTGATGGGTCTGTGATTGTGCTAAGCAATTCTTTCGTAGCTCTCTTCTTCTCTTCTCTGTAATTTTTCTTTTGAACCTGTAAATAACAAATATACAAGATGGTAAAACTATTTTAAATCACAGGGAAAAAGCAAGTCAGAGCAATAAAAACAAAAACCCATTGCAATTAACAAAAACTCAGGAAAATTGTAAGGTGTAAAGCTCAACCTGTAATAATATAGTCAAAGAAACAGCTTTAAAATGGGGAAGAATGTTTGTCTTGAACACACAAGACTTTTCCGTGCTCAGTTTCAAGACAAGTCACTTCTAATATTAAATTAAAAAAAATGTTACAAATATCATCTTAAAATTTAATTTTTTAAAATAACTGAAATCACTTATTTTTAACAATGTTATTGTTTATTTCATTGCTCCTTATCAGGAAGGCAAGTAGACCAGTCACAGTTTCACTTTTATTTGTAATCAATTAGTAGTCAATTTCAAGTTCTCATACACTAGCACAATTGTGCAGATTCTGGGTTTAGGAGAGGTATGCATGGTTAAATGTCCATTGAATTGAAAAATAATGAAAGACAGATATGAAAGTATTTACTTGTTATTTATTTATTTATTGCAGTAGAAATTCAGTGATGCCATTTTCCTCTCATGGTGGCCGATCACTTTAAGGTCTGTGACTATAACACCTCAAGAGTTGGGTAAAGTTTCTTCAATAAATTGCTTTTTCATCATTGCATTTTTTAGGACCCAAAACTATTTGAAATTTGGCAAATAGTTTCAGTTGAAAAAAAAAGTTCAAGAGTTGAAATGTTTCTTTTCTGACCATTTTGAAATGTTTCATCTTGGACCATTTTGTTTTGGCTTTTCATTTCAAAATGGACAGTTCAATTTCAAAATTTGGCCAAATTTATTAAAAAAAGGGGTGACACACCCACACAACCAAATTGAAACAAAAACTCAAAACAGAGTACAGAAAAAAATTATTTTCAAGTTGACAATGTTTTGGTTGATTCAAAACAAATCTGAGATTTCAATTTGATGAAAATGTTAGGAAAAAAACTGTTTTGGGTTCAAATCAAACCAGACTTTTTTCCCCCCAAGATTTTTTGTTTTCCAACCCCACGCTGAAAAATTCTGTACTAAACACCTCTAGCAGTCATTTTAAACTTTGTAGGGTCTGATCTTCTCAGTCTATGGAGGAAACCCCAACAAGGAAAACATAGGTACCACAAGACAGTGTTGGTGATTCAACAAGTGGCACTATTCCATATGTAAAATGGGTCCTAAAGACTGTACAACAGAAACACAGTCACCTTAGCATCATCGTGAGGCAATGGCCCTAGATATTCTTTAGAGTAGAGCACAGCAGCGATATTGGGATCCCACAGGTCCCAAAGGACCCACTGCCATAATAGTGGGAGCAGGTAAACTGTAATTTGTTGAGGGCAGGATTGGATGCACATAAAAAAACCCCAACAGACTGCAGTAATTTGCAGAAAAAAAACACTAAATCTCTCATCAGTTTGTCAAACAGAATTTCAGCAATGTAAAGCATATTTTTCTTTTTTTTAAAATAAAGGTTTTAATACTTAAATTTAAGCAAGGGATAGAAAGAGATTTGATGTTTATTATGACAGAAGTTAAAAGTAGTTTTTACATGGTTTAAGCAATATTTGTTTTATACTTTTAGTGGTAAAAATTGTGTCTGAATTTCATTTATATATACACAATATATTAATCAAATTTTTTTTTTAGTAGCATGGGGGAATTTGTCTCTTTTTCAGGATCTAAGGTTTTTGCAAATGGGAGCGGAATAAAAAATGCAAGAAAATGAGGGAGTGGGTATTGCGGGACAGGATGGGAGCTGGATTTAAAAAAATAGCCCCGTGCAAGGCTCTACCTGAGAGGTCTTAGCCCTATTTAGCTTCTGAGGTCTGACTGGAAGGTGGCTTGGCTGGTCAAATACAGGTTGTTAATACATTATTTTGGAAAGTGACACACCTTAAGAGACTCCTTTTTTGTGAGCTTGCTTGAAGTAGAGGAGATGTCCTTATCAGAGCCATTGAAAAGCTTGGATTCAGACTGAAATTTATAATATATAGAATAAGTAAGTATTGTTGATAGATACGTGGACACATTAGGAAAATGTTTCACTCAGACAAAAAAAAATAATCAGCGATGTGCACAGATATTTCTATAGGTTTCTACTGTCTTCATTTCCTTCAATAAAAATCAATTTCTCACAACCTTGTTCATGCAAAAACTATTTACAGAGTTATACTTTTGTCAATTACTTTAAAGACTGAAGGAGCCTGCAAGTGAATCCTCCAGAAGCAGCTCAACTACATTTAGTAAATTTGTTGCATGTGCAATCTGTGGCTAAGGAACTCTTCGGATGTTCCAAACGTGATTAGTTTTGAATTGTTTTACCAGAGATGAATTGGGGGGGTGGGTGTGGAAGAGAAAGAAGAGGGGAGATGAGGGGTCACATTCTCTTCCCTCCCCCCATCCATTTTCTATATGGCTTGTACTGAGCATGTTCACACAGACAGAGCATACTCAGTAACACTGCTGAAGTCGGTTGCCCAAAATCTGCCCCGCCCCTGCACACACACACTTTGGCAGACACGAGTTGTCTATGGCTGAACGGTTTTCTTCTTGTTTTTTACTTTTTGTTTTTTTAATGCTCTGTTTGGCTGAAAGATGGACCATAGGAATTTAAAATTGGGAGGAGCTCAACTCTTCAATATTCGACACCCATAACCTGACAACTCCTTCTGTGCCAGCGGCTATTTAGGCACTTACCCCCTAATCCATGAAAGGAATCATGCAACCTCTTCAGACTAGACTAGACTTAAATCTGTTCCATGAGTCAGTGGACTATCATTGCTCAAGAAGAGTTCAGTCACTGTTTTCTCCTCTCCTACAAACTCCAGAAGATCAAGATATCTCAGCAGAGTACCCACGTGCCACCGGACTGGAGAGTGGGATTAAAGGTTGCTTATAAAACCTGAGTCCTCATTCAAGACTGGGCAATGTGCTGACATGATTTTTTTGGGGGGGGTCATGTCTTTAAAGATTCAAAGATTGTTTCTTTTTATCTGTTGCCCACTAGCTGAAAGGGAACTGGAAGAGGACACAGACTGCTCCAGCCAAAGACTGGCAACTGGCCATCTGTAAGGAAAGTCTGCTGTGATGTTACAATTTATC